ATAGCGTGCTTTCCCTGACAGGCCAGGTGTAGAGCCGCCCGTTCGCGGCACGCTGGCCCGGGTGACGCTCATGGGGATGGAAGTGGGGTCCTCCAGGGCTAGGCGCCCAAGCTGTGGCGTGTCACGATGCCGGGGCCTCGGGTGTGTGCGGAAACTCAGATGTGTCAGAGAGGCGGAAGAAAGGAGGCCTCGAGACCCCAGCGCGGGGCATGAGGGAAGGGATGTGCGCGCCTTGTGGAACGGAGATGGGTGGCCTCGGAAACCTGCGCGACCCTCCAAGGCAGCGGAATCGTGAGCCCCGGCCGACACCTCTCCTCAGCCCCTGGTCACCTCTCATCTTCCCCCCTCTATGCGCTAGTCCTGCTGCTCGCCTGCGCCTCGCTGGGGCTTCTCTATGCCAGCACCCGAGACGCACCCAGTCTCCCGAACCCTCTGGCACTGTGGTCACCCCCACGAGGTCCCCCGAGGCTCGATCTGCCAGACCTTGCCCCTGAGCCCCGCTACGCGCACATCCCGGTCAAGATCAAGGAGCAAGTGGTAGGGTGAGTGCCGGCGGTGACGAGGCGGCAGGCGACAGAGCTGAGCATGCTGGAGGGGGTGGCCTGGGAGCTTTTGTTTCTTCCAGGGCTGGGCTTGGATGCTGCTCTCCCGCTGACTGGTGGGGGACAGTGAAGCGGGAGGCGGAGAGGGTTACCGGGACTAAAACCGGGGGTGAGGGGGATGGCGGGTGGGAGACAGACAGCGGCGGCAGCAAATCTACCCTACTGAACCTTGTCACCGCCTCTGGGGTGTGGGAGGATGTGCAGGCAGGCGAGCACCCGGAGACTGCCTGCAGACTTGAGATTACAGAAGGGCTCCTGAATGGCGCTACGCAGACATCCCAGTAACTGGCCCCACTCCACACCTCTGTAAAGCCCAGATACAAGGGATAAGCTGTTTTGTCTCTGGTCCCCTCTTGGGGGCTATTTGAAGAGCAGTGTTTTAAGAGGAAAGACGCCAGATGGGAAGAGTCGAGGGATCCAAGCTGGGTAGCTGAACTCTGAAGACCCTGTCCCCTCACTTCAGGCTACTGACTCAGAACAATTGCAGTTGTGAGTCCAGGGGAGGCAGCTTTGCCTTCCCGTTCCAGAGACAGGTTCGAGCTGTGGACCTCACTAAAGCCTTTGACACTGAGGAGCTGAAGGCTGTTTTGGTCACCAGGGAGCAGGAATACCAGGCCTTCCTTGCAAGGTACCAGTCAGAAAGTCTTGTGGAGGGGGACAGTGGTGGTCAGAAAGTCGGGGGGGGGGCAGTTAGTGACCCTGTGGGAAAAGAGAGCTTCCTCCTGACCCCTGTGTCCTTCCCTTTCCTGCAGGAGTCAGTCCCTGGCTGACCAGCTGCTCATAGCCCCTGCCAACTCCCCCTTACAGTACCCCCTGCAGGGTGTGGAAGTTCAGCCCCTCAGGAGCATCTTGGTGCCAGGTAGGGAAGGAAGGTCTTAGCTGGTGAGCCAAGCTAGAGGCTGGATGGCGAAATATGAGGGGAGCATGGAATGGAAGGTGAACATCTCTGATAGGGGAACTTAGGAGGTGGGCGGGGAGGACAGAAGGGACTCTAGGGCTCAATGGCAGAAAACCTGAGAAGTTTGTGAAGAAGAATCCCTTCTTTGACAGCTGAACAAGGGCTGCCAGGATAGGCAGGACAAGCCATGGAAGAAATGTCTCTTTGATGGAAGGAGTTAAAAGCAAAAGGCGTGCCATGGGGGCGCACACCTTTAATCCCAGCACTCCAGGGGCAGCAGCAGTCAGGTCTGTGTGAGTTAGAAGCCAGCCTGATCTATAGAGCGAGGTCCTGAACCAGATGTAGACGGAAGTTTCTGTCCCACCCCATCTCAGATAAAAAAAAGAAGAAGAAGAAGCATTTCCTCTAGGGTGTGTTGTACTAGGCACCAAGGGAGAGATGGGCATGAAACTCTGGGCAGTACATGGTGGGAAGGAGGGAGAAAATGAGGAAGATGCAGGGCTGTCTGTAATCCTGGCTACCCATTCTTCCTCCCAGGCCTGAGTCTGCAGGAAGCTTCTGCTCAGGAAGTGTATCAGGTGAGAGAAACAGCAGAGGCCCGGTGGGTGACAGATCCACCCAGAGGGATTTGAGGATTAAAAGGGCAAGGGGTGGGCTAGGGAGTCTAACCCTGCTCTCCCTTGCCCTCTGCCAGGTGAACCTGAGTGCTTCCCTGGGCACCTGGGATGTGGCAGGAGAGGTAACAGGAGTGACTCTCACCGGAGAGGGACAGCCAGATCTCACCCTTGCCAGCCCGGGTCTGGATAGACTCAACCGGCAGCTGCAACTGATCACTTACAGCAGCCGAAGCTACCAGGGCAACACGGCAGACACAGGTGCGAGGCCTGGACAGTGGGTAGCAGCAGAGCAAAAGGACAAAAGGAACCCCGAAAATCTGAAGAAAGCAAATGACAGAGGGTGTGGAGGCAGTCTGGCAGTGGCTAGAATTGCTGGGACAAGCAATGAATGTAGCAAGTGGGCCGCCCAGTGGTGCCAGGGGTGAGAGAAGAAGCCTTTGTTTATACGGGGCCAAAACAGGCCAGAGGGAAACCAGAGCCTTGGGTGTGTTCCCACTTCTCTCCATCATTCCACCATCGTGGCTCCAGGAAATGACCTGTTCCTAGAGCCAGAGGACTTAGGCACCCCCACTTTCCATGCCTTTTAGCAAGGTCTGGTCCTCTGCCCACAAAGGTTTCTAGCCCAACACTTACCTTGCCAGGCTCCCTTCCTCTTCCTGTTCTTGTCCAAAGCTTTTTTTTTTTTTTTTTTTTTTCCCTGTATTTGCTCCTACCTTAGGGCCTTTGCATCTGTCACTCTCTCAGTCTGGAATGTTCTTCCTCAGTATTTGTTCATGGCTGGCTCCTTCTTGATGTTTGCATCTGTGCTCAAATGTCTCTCTCCTCTTCGCTTAAGGCAATTTTCTTACCTCAGTTTTTAATTTACTGCCAATATTGTGACACTAGACTTTTCTTATTTACTTAGCCTAAAACCAGAATAACTATATATCCTCCTAGCAATGGCGTTGTAGAGTATGGGCCATTTACTTTTCTGTGCCTACGTTTCATTTCCTGTACTAGGAATTTATTTAATGTAATTAACACGAGGATTAAATGGCTTCATTGATTTAGGACACATTTCCAATTTTTGTTTTGTTTTGCTTTTGAAGCCATCTCATTTCATGTAGCTCTGGCTGGCCTCAAACTCACTATTCAGGTGACCTCGATTCCTGGTCCTCGAGCTTCTACCTCCCAAGTACCAGGATTATAGGCGTGTCCACCACACCCAATATACAGAAAAGGTTAAAGCTGTGTAGCACAGAGCAAAGTATAATGGCCCATGCCTGTCTTAATGCTTGGGAAGCTACAATAGGAGGGTAGAAAGGTAGCCTAGGCTACACACACACACACACACACACACACACACACACACACAGTAAACACTTAGTAAATATTAACTTTTTAAAAAAATTAGCTTTTATCTAGACACAGTAATGTTCACCTATAAACCTGGGACTCAGGGATCTGAGGCAGGCAGGAGAGTTGCTTCAGAATTGAAGCCAGCCTAGACTACAGGGCAACTACCAAACCAACCAGGGCTACATAAGCAGGACCCAGTATCAGGAAGCCAAAAAGGAAATTAAAAATAGTTTCATTGTCTTTGTTCCACCTCCTAAAGTTTGAGTTTCTGGGCAGGAAATGTAGCCCAGTGAGTAGCATGCTTGTCTGGTGCAAACAGACCATGGGTTCAGTCCCCAGTATTTCGAAGAATTCTACATGATGTCTCACTAGGGGATATCTGTAAGTAATGACACGTGTAAACTCAGTCAGTGGGCAGAGACAGGAAGATCAGATCTTCCTCTGCAAAGAAAAGAGGGCTGGGAATATAAGCTCGGTAGCTCGGTGGTAAAGACTCTAAATTCAGTTCCCACCACCACAAAGCAACAAGCATGAGTCCTATAGATGTCAGAACTATATGTTCTTGCCCACCAAGGTCTGGAAAGGCAGAATAGGTATTTAAATTTCGGTCCTCTGAAAAGAGAATGGGCCCAATTCCACATCCTTTCTTCCTAGTCCGGTTCTCCACCAAGGGACACGAGGCTACCTTCATCATCCGCATAAGGCATCCTCCCCACCCCCGGCTGTACCCACCTTCATCTCTAACCCAGGGAGGTGAGGCTCGCGGGACTAGGGAAGTAAAGAAGGGGTTGGCCCTGGGAAGTGTGCTCCCCCCCCCCTTTTTTTTCCTTTCTGCATCCAATTCTGCGTCTTGCTTTCAGCCCAGTACAACATCAGTGCCCTGGTTACCATTGCCACCAAGACCTTTCTTCGTTATGATCGGCTACGGTCACTCATTGCCAGCATCCGACGCTTTTATCCTACGATCACCATAGTCATCGCTGACGACAGCGACAAACCGGAACGCATCAGCGACCCCCTTGTGGAGCATTATCTCATGCCCTTCGGCAAGGTGCGCTGCCTGCAGAGCTGAACCGGGCAGGCACCAGAGAACTCTGGGAAGAGGGCGTGCCCTGAGGCTGCGGCTTTTGCTGAGTAGTGATAAAGGACCACTTAGCTGAGGGCTGCAACATGGCTCAGAGGTTAAGAGCACTGACTGCTCTTGCAGAGGTCATGAGTTCAAGTTACAGTCACCTACAGTGAGATCTGGTGCCCTCTTCTGGTGTGTAGGCATGCACAGACGCAGAATGCTATATACATAATTAAGAAATAAATCCTTTGACAAGAGGACCACTTGTGCCTATTGTAAGGGATCTGGAACCTGCATCCTTGAAATGGGGCTTAATGCCTATAATAATAGATAGAATGAATTGCACACAGGAATTAAATACATTTCAAGACCCTTCCCCAAAAGATCCAAAACCTTTAGAAAGAGGGTAAGAACCTGCGGGGTTTTTTGTTTGTTTGTTTTAACCTACTTTCCAGTCATCCAAAAGCACTCAAAAGTCTAGAAGAGAGGCACGGGCTGTTTCAAGGGTCGGGGGAGTGGAAGAAATACAGTTGTCCTGCTCCTACATACTCCCCAACCATAATACAACTCTCCCAGGGTTGGTTCGCAGGTCGCAACCTGGCGGTGTCCCAGGTAACCACCAAATACGTGCTGTGGGTGGACGACGACTTCGTCTTCACGGCGCGCACGCGGCTGGAGAAACTCGTGGACGTGCTGGAGAGGACAGCCCTGGACCTGGTAGGGAGGGGGCGCGGGATGTGGGGTGGGAGAGCCGCGCGCCCTTGGGTGGAGCTTGTCTGGGGGCGGGAGGTTCTGTGG